TCAGTAGCTGTGTAGTATTATATCCAAGCAAAACAATGTGAGTAAGCTCTTGATTCAGGTAAGAATAATTGTCCGCAGCAATGGTGTTTGCCTCCATTGTGCATGTATCTCTTTGCTTTTTTGAGCTATCAATCAAGGCATACCTAATAAAATCACTTTTGCCATTCAAAACGGACATAATACATACACAATAATACATTGACGTTATATTGATTTATCTATGTCTACTTTCTTAGTAATTAAGTATTGTTTAGCAGCACTTCGAGATATCTGTCTCCTACTAAGAAATATAACGCTTTCTTGGCCTCATTTAAGGCAAGATTAATTTGTTGTTTGGATGTTTCACTATTTCATTGAATTAATTTTGAAGTAGCATAAATATATGTTTTTATAATTATTGTCAGCATTTGTCGATGATTCTTTTCTACATTCATATTTCAGAAACAAACAGGTAAACCATTGACATTCAAGAAGTGAAGAACATCACTTGGTTTCACTATTACTTTTATATTATTTTATTTCCAAGCACCTTGGAATCTCTAGGCCTTGTTTATACAGGAAAATGATGAAGCATAATGTTGAGTTCTCTGAGCGATATGAGGAGTTGACAAATGATGAGTTGGATAAATTAATTATGGAGATAAAACAAGAACACCCAAATACAGGTGAGAAATATTTAATTGGGCATCTCAAATCAATGTTGATGAAGATGGAATCAAAGCAAGGAAATGTCCCACATTACATCAAGAGTGTACTCTGTGACATGCCCAAATTATCTTTGGCATATTGATGGTAACCACAAACTAATTCGATGAAGATCGGTGACACATGCAGCGATAGATGCTTTTTCACGTGTAATTACAAACATACAGTGTAGTGACAATAACAGATCAGATTTTCTGGATGGTGTTTCAAAGTATTAGATCAGATTGTGGTGTTTGGGATGTAATGTCGTAAATATGTCGTGGTGTAGAGTCTCACCCTGTTGTGGGAAGTTCAGTGCACAATGAACGCCTCAACAAAGAGATAAACACTCACATTGTGGACACCTTCAAACCAATCTTTTGCGCTATTGAAAATAATGGATGGCTGGGTCCAACAAACGACAATGAAACTTTTATTTGCATTAATACTTATCTATACGAAACATTAAAATTAAGTTATGTCCTAGAATCTGTATTTCAATAAACTAATCTTATAGCATTCAACCGATTTGTTCTGGACTCTGTATATGCGTTTGTAGGTCAGCTGAGCTATATCAACCTTAAAATGATCACTTGTTTCTAAATCTAAGCAAAGACACCTGAGAACAATAATACAAATTTGGTCATGTGGCTTATTGCTTATTGGTTTATTTCTGCAAATCCATACGTCTCTAACTTTATGCTCCTTGTAAACTGATCACACCTTTTATTCACATGGTAAGTCTAATTGCTACAGATAACTGTATTGCCTTAGCTACTTAACTGTAGCATATTTTGTAAACTGTTGTTGCAAATCACACTTAGCACTCTGGCCGGGAGTGAGCAGCTTTAGTAGCAGCGCAACATCAACAACAAAATAATGTTTCCAAGTACAATACAATAAAACATGCACACAAAGTCTATAAAGCACAATGGTAACTTTAATGAACAAACAATACAAGTAATGATGTGAATTGGTAATTATATTATACCAGTGTATCACTGCCAGCAATGCACCATTGTGATTGGTTTGGAGACTGTTTTAATTTATGCAAGCCATGGTTAAATAGAGCATAATGCACAGTTATGGTGTTCCAAATAAGGCCCCAGAATATGAATACAAGTTCAATTCGTAAACAAATAAAGGAAGGGGCATTTACATTTCAGAGAAATTTTGGGGTAATATTGATAGCATGATTTGAAGATATTATATACATATTTTATTTTTGCAGTGGTTAAATAAAAAAAAAAAATGTACAACCTAACAT